ATCCCCTGCCCATGCACCTTTTATGCCATCAAATATGGTATATTAATCACCATCATTGTTTCTTATTTTTAAATATATTGTGAGTGCCAGCTGATAATTTATAAATGTTTATCAATGCACAATTCTACATGCAGTAAATATGCTAAAAATCTGTGAGAATATATTTGTGAGTCTATAGAAAAGTGAGGATAGTAAATAGTGGGGAAAGTAAGTAAGTAAAAAAAAATCATACATGAAAATATGTGAACATTTATGGTGAGAAAATTTGAAAAGGGTTTAGGTTGATATGATATGCTTATTAACCCCCCCTTCTCATTTTTGTAGTTGTAAATCTGAAAAAGAAATAGCAATTTTGATCTTAAACAGTCATATATAAATAGCAATCTCTTAAAAGTCTTACTTAAACAAAAAAGTACATTGAATTTTCTCAATTTCATTATACTGTCTTTAAATAATTTTGTCAGCTGAAATATTATATACTTTACTTTTGGTACAATCATACTGAAACAATCTTATTTCAGATGACTGAAAACATTAGAAAAAACTGTTACAAAATAGTTAAACTGTGGAAGACTAAAAAAAAAAAGTGAAAACTTAAATACAATTTATTGCTAAATTTCATAAAGAAATCTAGATTTTGTTTATACTTTTCTTGTTTTGAAAATATTTTATTTAATTATCAGGTAATTTTAATATCTTCTAAATCATTTAAAGATAGAAACAGTATAAATATAGCAGTGGCTAACCAATTATTTATTATTTTGCAACATTACCCTCAGAGATTCTATGAATTTATATTTAGATATAGGGATAATTTAGACATATAATTTAAACAAAATTAAAAAGCACAATGAGTTATCTTCTAATTCTTCAAGGAATCTGTGATAATTGATATTTACAACAAATAGAAGCCTTTGTACCAACAACATATCATTCAGTTTCCAGCAAATAATTCCAATAGGAAGAAGAAATAAATATTTATGATTTAAATTTTAAAATTTAATTTGACAGTTTTAAATGAATAGTAGCTGAATGGAATTAAAATAAAAATTGATACTTAAAAAGTGACTTTTTATTTGGTGTACAATATTGATATTTATTTTGATATTTATTTATATTTTTTATCCTCGTTGTTTATTTATTTATTTATTTCTGTGGATTTCAGAGAAAAGTAGATATTTAAGAGGTCAGAAAGTAAATATAAAACAAATTACAAGGTGGATTTTTACAAGAAATATGTTGAATTTGCAATGTATAAAAAATATAAATAACGCCCCTTGTTCCTGATAAACAGGACTGTTCTGGAAGTTTTTGAGAAAAAATTTCTCCTGCATATTGAAAATATAAATACAAATAGTTGCAGTTATAAAGAGATTACAATTCTAGAAAAGGAATCATTTTTAATCCATTAAAGTATTTATTTGACTTAACCAAAATCTGGTACATGGTCAGACACATGTCATTTTTTTTTTTTAAAATCATGCGGTACCTAGATACCAGGAGCAAGTAACAGTATGTCAGCTATCAAAATCTGTCAACAAGCTGTTATCATTACTACTATTATTATATACGTCTTATTATATATTATAATAATTCTATAATAATGTTAATGTAGCATAATAATATTATATTCATGATTTTTCTCTTGAATTTTCAAATATCACAGAGAAATCAGCAACTTAGGACAGAATGCAACGTTTATCATTTACTTTATTATTAGCAGAAATTATCATAAATATTCAGATGCCTATATTTATAATTATTTACCAAATAGAATATAAAAGCAAATGTTTTTCTTTATTAAGCTACTTAATTTATATATACTGAATAAGACTGTTAACATGTTAAAAATGCTATTATCTGTAAACACCTTCACGATTTTCATTCAGGCAGATACATTTTATTAAAATTTACATACTAATGCTGTGTCATTAGTAAAACTGATATTTAATAAACTTGGCCATTTCTGGCATTAGACTGTTTTCTAGAGCACTCAGAAGATCAATTTCAATTACTCCTACTACCTCTGACACTCAGCCAATAGAACATGCTGAATTTAACTATCATGTACCTAAAAAAAAGTTAAAATTACTGTGAGGCATGGAAGATTTTATTTAAGAAACTGGTGTAAGGTTTTGTCATCAAAACAGTGACAAGTTCACAGTTATCTCCCTTTGTATAGGAAATATCTGGAGTCAGGTATATTTACCCGTTCTTCCCACTAAGGCAGGGTGACACAAGGTCGTTTTTATGTGGGGATCGTCATACATATACATATGTATATGGGCCAAGGATAAAAACTGTCCAATCCCCGTGACCACTGACCTCATCTCTCTCTTATTGTAATGAGAAAGGTGCTACTACAGGATTGGAATCCCCAGTGTCAGGATCAGTTGTCTTTATTTGTATTTTTATATTAGTACTTCAAAATTAGATTGCATATTCATGGAAATTAAGGTATATGAGATTTAAAAACTTAGAGCATATCAACTGTCAATCATGACTGGTTATTATTATTATTATAATCGTCATTTACAGCTGAGAGATTTAAAAGTTTTGTCTTAAAACTTATAATAATACATTTTTGTTTTAGAAGGAAATTGTTTATATACAGAAATTAAGAGCAACCTTATGGAATTCAAAGTTCAAAGAAAGACAACAAAATCCAAATTTTTGTGCTGTCTCTCAACTGCATAATAAAATTATTAATAATTTAATCATCATTATCAAGAAACACTGCATGCTATTTCATCAACTATTTTAATGTATGTATTTTGAAGTGCGTAACATTTAGTGGGAACAAGTACAGATATTATTAGAGATGATAATAAACAAAATATTTTAGTTGTACTATTGGCTTTAGTTAAATTGTTTATATATTAAACAACTTTTTTTAAGTTGTTTATATATTATTTGCTATAGGGAGGCTGAACAATTCATTGGTTATATCATTTTAGCTAATTTATTGTCTAATATGATTAAAAATAATGAATGGAAGAAAAATATATTTTTAGTTTTTTAGAAAAGTAATTTTAATAAAAGGGATATCTAAAAAGTAATTAATGACTTAAATACAGATTCAGTGTAAAATCAATAAGTCATAATTGTATATACTAGTATGTTGATCTATAATATTTATTCTTTACTCTAGCAAATTTGGTTGAAGATTAATTTTATTAATGCTTTGCTAAAAATGAAAAAAATTTTAAATGTCTAAATTAAAAAAATATAAAATTGACAATGATGGTCCCTTGTGTGTGTAGGAGTTGAAAAAATAGATGAGACTTCAGTATCAATATACTAAAATGCCAAGAGGTACAAAACCAATAGTGATAGTAATACTATAATTATTGTTGTAAATAATAATGTACTTGTAATTGTAGAAGTAAGAATAATGATGAAATATTTAGTAGAATGATAATGCATAAACAATAATTATAATAATGATAATTATTTCAGAAATAACCTAAGCAGTAAGAATATTTGTAGACAATCTTACAATAGAATACTTTATCCTTGGTTTAGATTGATGCATGTAACTTTATACTTAAATCAGAAAGTGAGAAACCCAAATTCTTTATCAGTTGGGCTAGCATATCCACTGTGTAAGTTTCTATAATAAATAACTGAGAACAGATTAGTAGTAGTAGTAACAGCAGTGATAATAAATAATAACAACTCTATAAAATAATAACTTTTAAGGCTTGCTCAAAGGCAGTCATTTTACAATTTATTACATTTTTTTGCCAGTTAAAATATTCCTTTCAATAAAGAAAATTATATGTAATATACAGTTGTGTACATATTTTATCTGTATATTATTTGCTTTTTATACACATTTAGAAAAAGAGTTTGAATACAGATATTGATATTGGTAAGTATTTTTTTCTTTTTTTAGGGAGAGAAAACTTTTCATGAAACAATTTAGTTATTTAGAATAATACAAGTTCTGTTTTTTATATATTCCATTTATAAATTTATGGGATTTCTTTTTCTTTTGCATCACATTGTGACAAACAACAACAGATTCATGAATGAAGCCCTGAAAGATAGAATTTCTGTTTACTTTTAACTTGTAAGATTTTTTTATTCATTAAATTTCATTAAGTATTCTTTGGGTCATCTACACACAAAGAACAGTTTAAAAAGGTATTTCCACAATTTTAAATAATAGTCATTTTTTTAAAACTTTGGAATGCTTATCAATAGAAATGATCCTTTCAGCTTTTTGATGCATCCCAGCTGTTGATTAGATAAAAAAAAAAAAAAAAACGTAAATGAAATCTGCTCTTAAAGAGGAGGATGACTGAGCAGAAACTTAATGTAATTTAGTGAAGAAAATCTTGTTTTCTTTCTCTTTTTAGATGGAGAACAAAAATATTCTACTTTCTTTAGCTGGAGTTTAAAAAAAAATAACACACAAGAATAATAAAAAGAAAAAGGGGAGACAATCATGCAGAAATGAAAGAAGGAAGTAAAATTTTTCATTTTCTATTTTTTTTTTATGAGGCCAACACTAAGGCAGATGCTGTTGGATTCAACACTTGGATTAAAAGCTAGCAATAGAATGACACATTGAGGCCCATGACAGGTTAAAAAAAAAGATTTTGTCAGGCCCTATCTTGTAGTGGCATAATATAAACTAAGGCATGTATTACTTGAATAATATGTAAACGTGTATGTGTATATGTGTATGGGGCAGAAGTACTGATGTGTGTGTATACTAAGCCAAAGTGGTGTAGACACGCACACCATATGTATCAGAAACTTATATACATATACATTCATTCATGCACACTCTCAAACACAGATATATTTGTGTGTGTGTGTGTGTGTGTGTGTATATATATATATATATATATATATTCATACACACGTGTGTTTTTGTTAATGTATCTATCAGTTTGTAGTGTATATGTTAGTAGGTGACCAAATGCACGCACGCCTGTGTGTTTGTATGTATGTACATAAGTTATAAATAAAAGGCTTGGGGAGGACCTTCAGCAAGTATCTCCATCTTGCGTTGCTGCAGCTTCACTTTTTTGTGAATCACTGTCCTTTCGTAGTACTGTCCCACTCTCTGGTGGGGTTTTGTATATACTATTCCCCTCAGAGATATCTTCAGTCCTGCTGTCCACATCCAAATGATCAATGCCATCGGATGTGTTGCTGGCTTGAGATGAGGCTTTGCGTGCTCTTTCAGCTGCATCTGTGAAAACAAAGTTTGAGAGAAAATACTTAATACAGCAGACAAAAGTATCAAATAAAATATATAAAAAAATACAAAATTTATCTTCATCAAATTCTTTATATGTATGTCCTTTAGCCATTGTTAAAACTAAAAATAATTCATGATTGAGATGAGAACCATTTAATATTTATCAACAGAATTTGCGTGCATTTGTTTTCTTTTTGGATAGTTGCTTTAAAAGAGCCAAATTAGAATTCAAGATATTACCTTTCTGTTATAATTGCAATCATATTTTAATTCTGGCTTCCATTGATATATCTCTAACAATGTTAGGAGGAACATTTTCTAAAAATTGTTATTAAAATAAGTTAAACAGATTGAATAAAATTCCTTTAAAATGTATTTACAAAAATTAATAACCTAAGTCTTTTTTATTATTGAAAAATCAAAATTTAACCTCAAATTGTCAATAAGAAATTGTTCTTGATAAAAATAAAAAAGGACCAAAATATTTCAAAAGATTCAAAATAGCAGAAATTAAACCATTTCAAAACCAGATTCTTATTTGACTAAAAAGTTCTCCCTTTATAAAATCAGCAAAGAAATTGTTTGACTAGTCTGCAGTAATTTGCTTTCTTCCATTTTAAGGATTCCTATTGTAATCACTCCAACAACAGTAAATAAATAAGTCAAATGTTGTTATTTTCTCAGTATGTCTATTAATGGCTGTCAAACCCAAACCTGTGAGAATCTTAACTTCAAGTTATCTAACTTATATTATCCCATTAATGTATTAAATGTACAAAGTAGTAATTAAAGTTTTGCCATGTCTCTCTTGGAACTTATGAAATCCTATTTTAAACTCCAAAGCTGGATTTCTGTTACTGGAGTTGTGTACAGGTTCATGCATAAAACATTAATTTTTATCTCTTGTTCACATATATAATATCTTTCTGACATTTCCCATGTGAACATGCCAATGATTCATTGTTATATACTTGCAAGAAGAAAAGTTTGGAATACAAAGACAAAAAAGTGTAATATAAATCTGTAAATATTCAACTGTTCAAAAAATGTACTTAAAATTAAAACAGAAAAAAAAAATAAATGTCTGCCTTGTTTTCATTCTTTTTAGTGATTTATGATGATAAATCTCAGGCAACCAACTCTAGTGATGAACCTTTGACTTTATAGCCTCCAGCTTAATTCCTCACCATTGAGGAATCAGATATTTACAGAGACTTTTAAACTTTTTTGTTTTTATAAATATAATTAGACAAATAAGTTAACTTCTTCCCCATTATAATAGATGTCAGCAAAAGTGTGGTAAATGCAAATTGTATTCATTTGAAAATAAAAGTAATTCTTATAATTAAAGAAAGCTTTTCATATTGCTTGCAGCAAAATACACACTTTGCATATCTTTAACATTAAAGACAGGAAACAGTTCAATAATATTTGATTTTCTTCTTGAGAATAAACTTTCAGACAGAAAGGACATGAAGAAATATAAATAAAAGTAAAAGTATGAAAGTGTAGGTATAAATTTATTAAGAAAGAAGGAAACTGTTGAACAAGCAAGTAATGAAGAAAAAGAACGGGAGAAGAAAAATGAGTAGAAGGAAATAGACTGAAAAATTAGAAAAAGTGTGTGAAGGAAAGAAAATCAAAACTAGGCAAAATATGAAAATAGAAGAAAGTGACTTTTTTTTCCTGTTTGACAAGAGAGGAAAATCAAAGACGACTTGGAAGGAAAATGGAATAGAGTAAGGAAGAAAAAAGGCGAGTGCAGTTTTAGGGAAAAGAGAATAGAGAAATTTCATTTTTTTTCATGGTCAGTGAAGAAGGAAGAAATGTAGAAGTCTAAAAGATAGGATATTCTAAAGAAAATGGGGAAATAATGCTTGAAGATTACATTTATATCAGTCTGTTGACTTTTGCATCTGTCAATGGAAGCAAACAATGGAGCTATATTCGTTGTATGGTAAGCAAAAACCTTAAGAATGTCCTATCTATATGATTGGTTGTTTTAATACCTTGACTGGAAGCAGATCCAATGGAATTATATGTCAACTGATGAAAATAGTCTTCACCTGAATTGCATTAATGATAATATGTAAATGTGTGCAGAATCACACTGATGTATCCATGGTAACAAGCATGATTGCTATTGTTCAGATAAGAATTTCATTTAATGGGACAATAGTGTTCGGGCAGAAATCTTGATGATACAACGTTAGTTTTGGCTTTTGTGTTGATTATGTCACTTGTGCTCTCTAGTATTTCTCATTCTTTAATCACCTTCTTTTCTTTCTTCAAATCTTCTTTCTTTCTTTTCTTTCTTTTGCTCTTATTCTTTTTTTATTTTGGTTTTATTCTTTTCTCTTTTCTTTCACTTTCAGTTTCATTCTTATCCTCTTTAAAACTTTTCTTTTTCTTTCTTTATATTTCCCATCTTTTTAGGAGATAAATTAGATTTTATTATATTGAAAGAACAAGTGATTTCAACAAAGTAAAGCTCAATTTCAGGAGGAAATGGAGCCAAGTTGGGAGGTGATTGAGAGTTGACACAATTTGATTTGAAGCTGTTGTAATCTCACATGAAAAAAAATCTATTTAAAATCAAATTTGACATTTTTGCAGAAAATTTTTCAGATGGGAGTTTATAATAATCTTATTTTTTTTAAAAAATTAACATCTTTGTTCTACCTGTTTCACAAAATGTAGCAATAGGACAGCAAAAATAATACCCATAGAATTCTGTACTGGATTAATTGGCATTCACTTCTGGAATACCATTTAATGAACCATCTCAAACAATAAAAGGTGAGGATAACAATCTGAAAACACCAAAAACTTTGAATCATTTAATAATGACATTTTTGAAGAAAATATTTGAAAAAATCAATGAGTCATTTTCAATCTTTATTTCTAAATACAATGAAGTAAATTTGTTATGTCAGAAAACAAACTTGTTTTGAATTGGGCCAAATAAAGAACATGGATAGAATTCTAGGAACCTTTTTTTTTCTAAATATTCACTGCTGAAATGGGGATGTCATCTTATGTGCCTGTGAGTCTTGTTAATAATTAATTTAATTTGTTAATTGTTGGATGCTCAATTCTGAGTATACTGTGGAGGCTAGTGATTTCCTGTTGTAGATTTGGTGAATTTTTTTGTTTCTTCAACACCCACAGAACCAAACTGTGGTTTATACTAAAACTTTAATGAGCAGACCTTTGTTACAGTTTCTGGGAGAGAATGCACAATCTGCTATGATCAGTAATTGAATAGAACCAGTATGCTAGCACAAACATTGAGAGATTTAAACAGTTTTGTTTCACTCAGAAAACATGGGCCGACCTGTGGTAAGCTGTCCAGGCACTTCCCAACAGTGTTACATGCTGGGATCCCTATATTGCTATAACTACTCTACTGACAAATTGATCATGGTAAGATTTGAACCCAAGTCAGAATGTCAACTTTCTAATGACTCAGCCATGAACCTATTCATGGGTCTTATAAGCCATCAAATAGGATATGATAAGCATTATTTTATTTTGTAGGCTCCAAAAAATAAGTTTATTTAAAAGAATCCACATTTAATAACTGATTTTACACTTCTCAAATGTATGTTTCACAAAACACTATTCATTTTGGTGCTGTCTTTTATCACACTCTTTTTCTCTCTTTATTTTTATATTTTTTTCTTTTTGCATTCAATTTTCTTTCTTTACTCTTTTGTTTTTCTTATCAGATTCAATTTCCTCTTCAATTTCACTTTTTTACCACTTTTTTCAACTCCCATTCTCTTCATAATCTTCTGTTATTTCTCATTATCTAACACTCATTTATTACATTTGTTATTAACTTTCACTTTCTCAGTTTTCTCTATCTTTCTGTTTTTATGTCATTTTTAAACTACCACAACATGGGATTAAGTCCCTTTAGGCCACATAATATTAAATGCAATGTAGGGAGAGGGTAAAAAATAAACAGTTGTTAAACAAAGATAGTGTCAACTGATTTGTTATCAATAATATTTAAATTATCTATACCTTGTGCAGCAATTTCAATCCACTTTAATTTATTTTCTTCCAAAATAGGTTTCCAAGGTCTTTTTAGTTCATAACCTGAAAACAGAGTAAAGAATGCTGATTTAAAATGGAACATTGGTTGGTTAAAACTAATTTTGTTGTTTTTTTATGTTTATTTTTCATAGTCTTTTGGTTGCATATTCTACAGCCTTTATCAGGTTTCTTTTGTTTCATTAACCAGGTACATTTTCATCTCAAACACATCCAGCATGTGTCCTTGGAACTGTCTTCTCATGACTTCTGTGCTGTACTTGTAATCTCTTCTACAACCTTGCACAAGGTCTCAGTCCTCAGGCTATGCATATGGAATCCCAAGTTCATTGCTTCCTGATTAATGCTTGACTCAAGTTATCAATGCCAATGTCAGCTTGATCTGAACATAGTATATGGGAAATTGTTTTTTTACAATCTTCTGTTCTGTCTATTATTTTAACTTCATTTTATAAAGGTTAGTGAAAAATAAACAACAAAGATGAGGAGATTATAACATAGCATCTACACACAATGATTAAAATTCTTAATATAATATACCTAAAGTCAGACAAGAATTGAAACATTAAAAAGAAACACTCCCCAATAAAATCTAACTACATTGGTATCAATTGTTTCTTGACTGTAGCCATATTTGATATTACAATCTTTCAAGATCTGATACAAAGTTAAAGAGTTATTTTCAGTACTAAATTTCTGCTTGGTACATTTTGTTCATCTTTCCTCAAAGTTTTTGTTCCAATTTTCATATATTTATGAAATATTTCAAATGAAAAAATATGAAAAGTGAATAGAAAATTCCATATAAATTTAACTTGGGAAATTTTATAGTTTATAACGTTTCATTTAGGAGGGAAAATATCATTAAAATCAGGATAATGTTATTTAGACTTTGGTGATTAAATGAATAAATATTCTAATACAAAAATAGATTTCTGTTAAATATCACTGTCAATCTTTAAAGAATGGGCAAACATGATAGCACAGTAATTTGTGTGACAATTTTATTAAGTTATTGAATTTAATGTGTTAATATGCACTGAAGAATTGTGGCCAAATGTAAGTTCATTTGTTTGGAGCAGCGGCAAGAGTGCTCATTTCACAAGCCACTGAATATTAGCTAATTACAAAGAAATTTTGAAGTATGCTAGAAATAATCATTTTCTTCTTTGAAAGAAAACAAATATAAGTAAAGAAACAAGCCACAAGAGAAATATAAATATGAGGGGCTACTGAAAATTTTTTGAACCAACCAAGAAGCCCTTCACCCCCAAATTCTGGTATTTGGACAGATTTTGTTAAGTGGGTTGGGCCAAGTACTTTTCAAACATGTGAATATTACTTAAAACTTTTGTGATAAGGATCTTCAGAACAGAATGTATTTTTAATCAGTTTCAAAAGATGATTTTATAATTTAAAGGCATGGTATGTAAATGAAAGTAATGATTTTAGAAATGACAAAGTGTTTAGTGAAAATCCAAGATTTAAACAATTTGAAACAGAATGATGAACTTACCACCGGATCGTGGGGTGGTAGGACGGCTACTGCTACTAGTGCTTGATAAAGCACTGTTTCCATTGTCTGTCTTTTCAAATACCTCTTCTGATATCACTTCTTCTACTTTCGATGAAGCTGCTGGATACTGTGTCTGGAATACTGGGGCTAAAATCTTTTGTAACACATCACCCATAACAGTAAAGCTGGGGTCAACAATAAACTCAATAAAACCTTAAAAAAGAACAGAAAATGAATAATAATAATATCATCATCATAGATTTGTAAACAGAAATTCAGGAAAGGAATTCATATCTACTGTGTATCTGCTGACAACGAGTGGGTTTTATTGATTGATTAATTTGCTTTTAATGACTTATTTATTCTTTTGCAGGTTATTCAAAGTCAGGAAATATTTTTAGACTAAGAATTTCTTTTACATAATAATGATTTTTACCAATATAAGTTCTATTAATTAACCCATTGTTTGGGAGAGTGGGAGAAGAGATAAATTCATACTTTTTCCCATGGCTATCTGCACATAAGTGAATATAACGAATCCAACTGGAATTGAAACTTGGCTCTCTGATTTCCAATTCTGAGCCTTTATCTATTACATCACCCACATGTTCAATCTGGTATTCTACCTGGAATTGTACCTGGTATCCCAAGTGGTCTCCCATCTGGGTACTGACCAGTCTTGATGTTGCTTAACTTCACTGATCGTATCTATCTATTTTGACCATTGTACGCTCCGACCTTCTTCAGGTGGTTGGAATTTTGAATTAAACACTTTATTTTGTCCACTGGGTTGTCCTCAAGGACACATGGCCCGATGGATAAAGATGTTGGTTAGATCTAGTGACTAGACCCAAAATGTTTTAAGTTCAATACCAGGCTACAGCAGTGGTGAACCAAAAAAACTTTGAGAATTGAGTTAAAGGGAAATAACTGAGACATCTAGAAGAGGCATGGCACGTGGAAGTAGAACAATATATCCCGGTGGCTGAAATAAAGGGTTCGGTTTGAGATTCCAACCACCTGAAAAAGGCCAGAGCATACAATATGGATAACAGTCTGAATAATATAAATAATGAGGATAAGAGTCTGAATAATGTAAATAATGTAAATATTTACTGATTTTATGAGAACAAATCCTACAACAGCTAGAGGAGAAGGACTGTCCACAAGATGGGGAGGGGGCTCTGGTTTTATAGCATACTTATGGCTATAAGGTTACATGGGAGATCAGATTTCTCTATGCTGGCAGTCTATATTGCCCATTGGCAATATTCCATTCCATAAAATGTAAGGAACATTTTTTACAGAATCCCTGTATTTCTTTTGTGGTGCCTCTTTGATTGACCTTTCAATGGCTAGTTTGCTGAATATTAAGGAATGTTCACAAAACTATGAATGGTTTTCATTGTATTCTTTTCATTCGGCAGCTTTATTCACAATGCTTATTCACATAAGCATTTTCCACAATTGAAAACTAGATATTATTTATGGCTGGATAACCTTCACATCATATGTTTTATTCTTTAAATTGCTGCCTAATGAATGAATTTCAACAGGGAACAAAAGTAGCAAAAAATATGTTTAGGGTTTAATAGAGATGAAGACAGTGACTGAATTGTTTAAAAATTGTATAGAATTCCATAATGCTATCATTTAAATGATCTCAAATAATTCATCTACTTTGAACTTAGTTGATGAACTATTTAAAATGTTATGGCCTTGTTTTAATTTCAATATCATATGAATTGTGTGTGTGTGTGTGTGTGTGTGTGTGTGCACGCACTTGAGGTGATGAGGTGGTGAATTTCTCAAACCAACCAAGTTCTCAAAATCAGTATTCCAAAGTTTGGTCACTGAAATACAGATTTTTGAAAATGAGTCTAGCAGAGAACTTTTTAGCACTTTTCTCTGTGTGTGTGTGTGTATATATATATATATATATATATATATATATATATATATGTGCTCACACAGACTCATACAAGTTTGATTAAAGACCAACAAATGTTCTGTATTAAATGATTTTTGGACCATTTTCCTGGTTTCTGGTAATTAGTTGAATATAATTTGTTCACTGGTGGACTACTTTTAGCCAAAAGTAGTCCACCAGTGAACAAATTATTAAAGAAATTTTTTGTGCTATGTAATTTCATTACTTCTTATCTAGCAATTGTTCAATTAAATCATATATCACCAACCAACAGAAAATGGCCCTCAAGAAGTCTAACAAATCCTTACCAATGAGACTATAAATACTATATCACATAAACTGTAAAAAAATCAACAAAATACTAGAAGCATTAAGCATAAAAACAAACAACCCAAACATCAATAGAAAATGTTCTTAAATTTAGGAAGAAACATACTTAATATATTTCATTAATAAAAAAAAAACAACAATAAATCAATTCTTACTTGAAGACGCAAAGTTTGAAAATAATAAAACTGATATAGCAGAAAAAAAATAAACTCTTTGATAATGGCACCTTTAGTTTTTTGTTCTATGTCAGTTTCTTCATTTTCAAATATCACATTTCTGCATCTTCACTTAACAGTTTATGCCCTGGTGTGTCTTTTTCTTTTTTAATGAAATATATTTAGTATGTTCATTAATTTAATAAAATTTTCTTGATTTTGGGTTGTTTGTTTTTATGATAAATGCTGTTTGTAGCCATTTTTTAAAAAATTTATGTGATATGGAACTTTTGTACTATTGGTAAAGACTTATCTGATTTCATGTTGTACATTTTTGGGGTGTTTTGGTTGGTGATATATGATTTAATGCAGCTATAAGATAAATGGCAGGTTAAATAGTGCAATAATGTAGTGGTTGTGAAACAAATGTATATGTGTTGCTTTTTTGACAAGTCTAATTTGTTTTTTTTTTCTCGTTAGGTGATATATATATATATCTATGAATTAGGTTCCTCACAATTTTTTTTGTCTAAACAAAAAAATCCTTAGCAATATTTTTGTTTACATGAAAAAATTATAAGAAAATTAATTGTTGTGAGGGACAATATTTCCTTACAATTTTAGACTCAGTGGCCATTGGATTAAAGACATAAAAAACACTCCTACATCAAGAGGAGTAATAGGAGGAGCAGTAGCCTTTGCTGAAAACAGTCATTCACGGCTAAACATTCCCTAGTTTCTATTCTACATTATGTTTCACTGTACTAAAAGGTAATAAACTACTATTGTTTTTGATAACTCAGTTACAACACTAATACACATGACAAATAAAAAACTGCTGTTCAAATGCATGTATATATATATATATATATATATATATATATATATATATATAAGCCAGTGTGTCTGAAGATTTTAATTTTTTAATATTTTTTATTGTTCAAAATATATATATATATATATATATATATAACACAAAGATTTTATTTTACCAAAAAAAGTTGACAGTAATTCTAGGAGTAAACATTTTTTAATGTGAGAAGTCATTGTAAATATAGTATTCAATATTAAGAGATATATAATAAATAAGATGTTCATTTATCTCCACCCTGAGCTTTGTAGAATTATATCATAATTACAATAAGCCTATAGCCTGACACAGTTATTAGCTGCAGGCCTCCACAGGTGATACAAGGACAGGATTGTGTTGACGAATGACATGGATGATAAACACCCAGCAAAGACGAATATTGCATCAAATCACATTCCAATTCAATGTTTATGCTACACAATACACAGTACAATATATTTGGTGGGATTCATAATCACTGTCCAAGAAGGATATGATTATTGATAACATTAGCCTTGGTATTTAAGGTTGATACTGTCATTTGGTTGGATGAAGCTGTAGTGAGTGCCAAATAATTGTAAGCCTATGTGAAATTTTCTTTGGAAAACTGAAGACCTTGTCCTCACATAAATTAGCTGTTAAGCCAAGATGAAAGACAAGAAAGTAGGAAGCCCATGTGAAATCCTTTTGGATCTAAAATTAGGATAAAAATTAAATTAATAAGAGAAGAGTCTCTGAAGTCATCTGAAAGGTCTCGTTTCTGTTCACTGTGTCCAGCATTGAAGTTTTCACCAGTGTAATTCCTTGCCAATTATATTATCAGCCTTAGCCAAGCATGTGGCATTTCAAAGAACTTTCTTTCAACAATTTAAGAGAGCTAAGTATTTCAAGCTATATCTCTTTTCTCTACTTTTGAATGTATGTAACCATATATCTCTTCAGTGAACAACAAACTAACTTACCTTCATTTTAAACATTTTTGAACATTATTTTTTGTCAGATCATTTAAACTGCAGTATGAACATCATGACAATATGTCAAAACTATGGCTTTTAAAAATTTCAGATTTATTTTTCTGAAACAAACTACTGACACAACTTCAATTGTGTAAATTTTTAAATAAATTCTATGTGTTTCCTTGTCATTATTGTTCACCATTAATCTTCTTGGCATGGGTAAATCAACTGTTTTTAACCCCTAAACCCCACACCCCACTTTCTGCATGAGGCTATAGCACCATGGTGTGCAAACTGGTGGTTGTTCTCAAAATGATGTGGAGCTCTCTTGAAGTCTGTAAGGATGACAAGTAAAAAAAGAAGTTTAAACAGCTGTGATATACTTAAATCTTGTGGTGATAAGTTTATTTCAGTGAAATAATCTAATCCCAACTCCATCTTATCAAGTCATATGAAACTTGCCCCTGTGATTGTCAAATTTAAACCCCATTGAGCATGTATAGGACATGTTGCAGATCTCATTAAATTCTCTTCATTTATACTCAATAAACACAACTCATGTCTTGGAATGTGCCTGAATAGATAGACCCATACAATGATTCTAGTATGTTATAGACTCTATACTACATTGCATAGCCACTGTCATTCAGGTGAAGGGAGGGAAGCTATATACCACTAGGTAGTCATCTCTAATTTAGGACACTTCAGTTCATCCTGAAAAATGTAACTTACCAATTTGAGATTCTGCAACTAACGTATTTTTTCGATCACAAAGTGGGGAAAATGGCAGACCTAATTCCTGTTCTCTGTCTCCCTGGAAAGAAAGAAAAAAAGAAACAGGGATATTTAAAATAGATATTTCTTAAAAAAAGTTATGTTTAAATAAACACATGCAACAATCTATAGTATTTGTGTGTATTTGAATATTCATCTATGAAATTAAAATCAGATGATTTAAGATAATTTACTTGTCAGACATTTGATAAAATGAATGAAATTTCATGAGAATAATGAAAATTATTTCTTTTCTTTCTATCAATATGTGCTCAAATTATGCTTGATATTGCTAGATATAATCCACATATATAATAAAACACCCCCATGCACACACACACACACACACACACACACACACACACATATATATATATATATATATATATATATATATATATATATATATATATATATATATTGATTGGTTTGTTTTTTTTACAGCTTATCAATGCTTTGCCAATTATTTAAAGTCAGAAAATATTTTTAGATTGTAAGAATTTTTTCAAGATAATACTGATTTACTGATACAATTCCTACCCATTAATCTATAGTTTGGGGGAGGTGGATTTGCACCTACCCATTGGAACTCGGCTCTCTGATTTCCAATTCTGAGCCATTATCCATTACACCACCCACACATACAAGTTTGTAGCACCTGGTATTCCCAAGCAGTCACCCATCTAGACACTGACCAGGCTTGATGCTGCTTAACCTTGGTGACTGTATGAGAACCAGTGTTTCAATTTGATATGGCCATAAATCTCTCTCTCTCTATCTCTCTCTCTATATATATATATATATGTGTGTGTATGTGATAAAATATACTTTTTAATGTATGCTACATTTATGACAGAAATGTGCTCAATATCAGAGACAGTGTATATATAAATATATATTCATTACTATAAATGTTATATTTAATATTACTTATATTTGAGTAGACATTCTTGATTTTTTTAAACAGTGAAATTAATTCTAACCAGCCTAACGATTTAGAAGTCCTACAAAAGAAAATGTGCCTCCTAACAGGAACTGTATTCCCTTTTTCATCCAGAAAACTACTTTTAACCCAAGTGTGCCTTTTACCTATGTAGCTGTGAGAAACCATATTAACAAAGAAGGATTCAATTACCCTACATAGGAAATGCACATTTCCTCAATGGGACTTTTTTAGAGTTTTTATCTGATTAATTTTATTTTTCTACCCAAAATATAATATAAGTAATTTTTTGAAACAATTTAATGTCTTTTTAATCATATATATATATATATATATATATATATATATATATATATATATATATGCATGTGTATGTATGTGCATCCCTACATGAGCAGAAGAGAAGAGTCCACAACGTACAGATGAATAAATTGCCAATTTGTATGTTGTGGACTCCTCTATACTCATGTTAGGCTTAATAAATAAACAATTGACTAATTTTTATTTATTGGATTTTTCTGATGACTGAGAAATAAATTTTTTTTATTATTAAATGATATTTTAATTTTTAAGTGAAAAATCAAAAATACTATATTGTGGTAAATGATGAGACTGAAGAAAATACCTTTGGGCGTTTAAGGTTTTATTCAACTCAAAAAGACACATGAGGTGTAAACAAAGATGGCGATTTTAGAACTCTTTTATGAAGGAGAATAATTTCTTAATAAGGGTAGATAACTATAATAATGATATTATTTTATCAAAATCACCGCCACATCAGAAAAGAAATTGGGTGTACATGCATTGTGATAAAAAATAGAAATAAAATTGAGTCCTTAAAGGTCTAAGTGGTTGGGTGGTTTTACAACTTGACTAGAGCAACGCAGCATTTGTGGGCTATTCATAAGTCCTTTCATAGAATCGTTCATAGTTTGTTGGATGGACAGTTCACAGTCACTGTCTTTAGAGGACTGATTTCCTGGCTGGGTTGATATTGGTAATTATATGGGAATATGGACCTGCAAGGCTGCTGTCTTCAGTTCCTTTTGGGGCTAAATGTTTAAGTGAGACAGTGGCCTCACTACCATCTAATTTCCTGATGTGGGTATATTGTGGGTTTGCTTCCAGAAGTTCCACCTCATCGACTAGTGGTTCATGTTTGCTATTCTGGGGATATTGTTGCATCAATATTTTACCAGGGTGACTTAGCCATGTGGGTAAGGTGGTCCCATTGGTTGATCGTCTGTTGAACTTGAATAGTTGTTCATGTGGCATGCAGTTAGTTGCAGTGCACAACAATGAACGACTAGTATGTAAAGCTTCAGACAAGACTTCTTCCCAATGTGTTTCTGGAAGGTTCTTGGTTTTCAGTGCTAGAAGTATTGACTGCCAGATGATGCCATTGTATATTTCTACTTGGCCATTACCTTCTGGATTATAAGAGGTAGTTCTACTAGTGACAACTCCATAATCGTGTAGGAATGTTTTTGTTTCTTGTGAAAGAAATGAGGATCCCTGTCACTGTGGATGTAAGCAGGTATGCCAAATATGGAGAATAGATTGGACAGGCAGCTATTTACAGTTTTAGCTTCTATGTTTGGGCATGGGCAGGCAAAAATATACCTGGAAAATTCATCTATGATGATTAACAGATACTTGTTGCAATATGAAGAAAGTAGTGAACTCTTAAAGTCAATGCTCAGAGGGTCAAAAGGTTGAGTGGCTTTGATTAGGTGTGTAAAGTTGACTTAACTCCCTCGAGTCCGAGACTGGCCGTATTTATACACCGCCGGTGAAGACCGGTGTTTCTCCATCCCCGGGACCATCTCACCAATCGTCCTTCTTCTCTACATGTCCCCACCTCCTATGACCACAATACCTATGTTTTGTGGTCACCTGTCGGGATAATTCTGAGTAGTCGTGAGTCGGTCCTCGCATTTGTGGGGTTAGTGATCTTGGTGGCTGCGTCGTGGGGTCAGACTCGCTGGTGTATAGCTGATTGGCTGTTGGTTCTCTTCCTCCTCCATCTCTGCATCGTCTGCCATCACTATGTCATTGTCTGTCGCCTCTACGTTCATTATTTCAGGTATGTCGTACGAAGATTCGCTGTCATCTGGCTTTGGCCTTTGGGGAGGTGATTGAGAGTGTGGCTGATCAGGTGAATAGTCTGGTATATCCACAACTGGCAAGATCTTCTGGAGGAAACAACGATTACGTAGTGTAATTCTGCCATTTCCGTCTAATCGTATCTGGTATTGCCTGTTGCCCATAGTTTCAACAATTCTCCCTGTTTTTGTCCACCCTCATGGATATGGTCCCTCTTAATTTTGCACTCACACTGATTCACCAACCTGAAGCTCTTGGAGTGGTCGGCAGTGCATGTTGTATTGTTTTTTATTTAACACGCGCCTTTTCGCCATTGCCCTCTCTCTCAATTCCTTGGTTTTCGTCCAGCGTTTATGAATCTGGTGCTTCTCACGAAGTATGGGGAGATGATGCTTTATTGCTCGACCGTATAACATCTCCGCTAGTGACAACCCGAGGTCCTGGTGGGAGTGTATTTCTATGTGTCATCATGGCTCGTGATGCCCGATCATGGCATAGTTGGCCATAACCATCAAGGCAGTCCATCAGCATTCTTTTAGCTGTTGTTACAGCCAACTCAGCCCGGCCATTGCTCTGGGGATAATGTGAGGACGATATGCGTTTCTTTACACCCCAGTCTCCCAGGAACAACTTATATTCTAGTGAGTCGAATGGTAGCCCTCCATCTGACGATATCTCCTCCGGTGCACCGTATGTGCAGAACCAGCCCCTCAATGTGTCGCATACTGCTGCAGCCTTCCCTGATGGTAGTGGGGCCACTTCAATCCAGCCGGTATATCGGTCTGCGTATACCATATAACTCTTCCCATGCATGTCAAATAGATCTGTGACTGTCTTTTGAAATGGGAATTCTGGGTTTGAGGGTGGCATTAGTGGTTCTCTCGGCTGGGATGGGGCAACAGAATTACATCTTCATCATTGCGCCCTTGTTTGTCGAATTCTGTCGTCTAAACCGGGCCAAAATAATCATTGTCTAGCATTAGCCAACATCCCATTCACATCTTGATGCGTGAAGTGCAGTGCCTCCAGTACCTCAGCTCTAAGCTGCTTTGGTATCAGAATTTTGTCCCCCTTTACGGGTACTCCCTCCAAACAATATAATTGGTCTGCCATTGGCCAGAATTGTCGGATTTTCGGCGGTAGTTCATGGCGTGACTTCGGGAATCCATCCCGTATGTATGTTGCTAACGTTTGACATTCCTCGGTGGAATCTATCCCAGGTTATCACACGTAGTTTTAGATCATGCGTGTATATGGATTGTGTCAATTGTCTTCGATCTGCAGTGTCCTGGTGGTGTCGGGTATCTGGAGGTGCAGTCAGGTGCAGTGTTAATTTTTCCCGAAACGTGTTTAAATCGAAACCTGTACATTAACGACTGTTCTTTGAACATAAACAAACGAGGATTTTTTATGTTTTCAAGGACCTGATCTGAGAAAATTTTCACTAGTGGTTGGTGGTCCACCGTAACCAGTAAATCTGGGCATCCCAGTAAAAACATCCTGCAAGATTCCAATCCGTATATCAATGCCAGGGCCTCCCCATCTATAGGAGAGTAGCGAGACTCTGCATCCTTTGTAAACCGGGAGCCTGCCAAAATTATTTTCCAATGGTCCCTACCGCAATTTGGTCCCTTCTCTGTTGGGCATTGGCAGTGTCTCTGAAAGAGAAAGTACCCGATGCCAGTTTTACTATAATCAGTCGAGAGGCATGTTGCCCTGTTCATCTCGAATGTTTTTCATCTCGATCTTCCAAACGATGTTTCTCTTTGACTCCTCGAAAAGATTGTTTAAAGTACCATCCCAATAGAATTTGCGGTCCTTCGTGCATAATAATTCTTGAAAGGGGGCTATGACCTCGGCTTGTGAAAATGCGTACAATACCTGGTTAACCAGTCCAAACCAGGATCTGACACCTGTGATATTCGTTGGGGTCGGGAAGTTGAGAATGGCCTCAGTCATTTTTTGGTTGGTTTAACGCTGTCAACTGTTAT